TCACCAGAAATCTTAACCGGAGTGTTTTGCAAGGATGAACAAATGATCTAGGCACTTTGGAAAATGAGCAATAGCTTTTTCTTTCCCTTGGAAAACCTCCCTCTCTGAAAATTTTAGATGTTAGCTGTGGAGTACTGAGCTGGGCATTAGAAACTGCCTCCCTCACTTTCATCATACCAGAGCTCAGGCTATGATCATTGTGTTTCATATGGCCTTGAGAGAGAGTACTATGTCTTCACAATCCTGATGGTCATAGAATCATAGATTTATAGAATATTCTGAGGATCATCGAAGTCCTGCACCTGACCCTACCCCAAGAATCACATCATGTGCCTGAGAACATTGTCCAAATGCTTCTTGAACTCTGTCACACTTGGTGCTGTGGCCACTCTCCTGGGGAGCCTGTTCCAGTGCCCAACCACCCTCAGAGGGAAGAACCTTTTTCTGATATCCAGCCTAAACCTCCTCTGGCACAACCTCAGGCCAGGTCCTGTCACTGAGTCATCACAGAGAAGAGATCAGTGCCTGCCCCTCCTCTTCCCCCATGAGGAAGTTGTAGACTGCCATGAGGTCTGCTCTCAATCTCCTTTTCTTCAGGCTGAACAAGCGAAGTCTCGTCTTGCATTTCCCTGGATCCTGTGTAAGAAAGCACCATGCTTCCTAAGTGCCTTGGTTAACCCACTGCAGCTCCATATAGCCTTCATCTGCATCTCTGCTTGAGCAAACTTACAGGCAGCCTAAAGCAAACCCAGAAAAATCACTCAGAGTTGGCTCAAAATGAATTATTTACAAGCTTCCTACCAAGAAAAGATACGGCACATTTTTATTTTGCCAGAGTGCAGAGTTTGGGAGCATATCAGTGGCAAAAACCCTACTGGAAAAACATCTGAGACTGTGCTTTTGTCTGGGCGCCTTTTTCCCCCAGTGATGTTGATGGCAGCATCTGATTTTGTTTGTTGCAATCTGCTGCTGCCTGAGTTTTCCACAGAAGGGTTTGGTTAATATCAGATTGATTTGGTTTGGGGTCTTGCTTGTTTCCCTATGGTTTTGTGATGGCTGTGTTCATGCTGAATGGTGATTGTAAAGCACTAATCTTCCCACTGACAGGTATCGTCCTTTCTGAATTTAAAAAAAAAAAAATCAATCAGCGGTTATTGATTTGAGAGAGTGTCCTGGAAGATATTAAATACCTACAGTCTTTCTGTGAACCCATAAATCATGATTATTGTTTTAAAAGGCCATACATTTTAAGCACTTTGTCAGCAAGCCCTGCTGGTGCTATTTGGATAATACAAATGTGTCTAAAGGCTTTGCTGAATCCATATAGTGTGGAAACAATTAGATATGTGGTTACACATCAGCGTGGCTTGAATAATCGTACCATGCCTTTGCAAAGTTAGGAGGAAGGAAATAAACAGGGTAAGCAATTCTGAGGGTAATTAATTACTTACAGAAAATGAGATGAGCTTAACAGAATTGCTCTTTCCAATTGCAATAATTAAGAACAAATCTCAGAAAGCAGACTGTGACTTCCCTGGGTGAGTTGAGGGGAAAGGGATGATGCTTTTCCTTTGGCAGAAAAACACAGCCATTGGTTGTCCCAAATCCTAGGCTCAGGCATCACATGGGGCCAAGGAAGGTTTGACCTCATTCATCTGAATAAAATATTAGATCTACTGGTAGAAGTTAGAAGTGGCTTTAAATATATATAAAATTACACTTATGCCATGTAAAGCCAAGGTTTTCTCCTGCAAATGAAGCTGACAGGCCCATTGACCCCTGAGCTGGTTACAGATGTCTTCAGGGGATGGGCCACCTACTGTCAAAGACAGTGTGGGAGCCAGAAGATGAGACTGGGAAATGATGACTGTGTGATGAACACTAGCAGCCTAAGGAAGGAGATTAGGAAGCCATTTGGCTTCATGCCATCAAGGTGGTAACTTTGTCATGAAACTCGAAGGCAAAATCCTTTAAGCACTCTTTTATTGCTAGCTATTGATTTTTCTCAGCATGAAGATGCTCCTTCACTAATTAATGATGAACCCGTTTGCTTTATGAGGGGAGTGCTGGACTTTCCAGCTCCTTCCTGTAGATTTTCATCAGTTCAATAAATCAATCTTTTCTAATCCTTGAAATTTAAAAAAAAAAAAAAAAAGAAAAAGAAAAAGAAAGCAAAACATCCCTAGTACCTTATACGAGCAGGCAGCGGGGAGACACAATAGCACACTTTATTTTGTGTTTCCCTCCTGCATGCCTGCAGGAAACGTCTGTCTCTCTGCTTTATTTGCACCATATTAAAATGAATTCCGTGGGTCTTTCAGAATGCTTGTGAGGGGGCACATCATCCATCTATTTTTATTTGGGTTTCATCACCCTTAACAGCTACTAAAGGTCCTGTGTACTCACTTTGGCATTTTTGCTTGCTAGCCAGACAGTTATTTTGGGGCCCAAGCTCTTGAGTCCATGTGCTTACTGAGCCTTTTCCTGCTGTCTTAGAGATGGGAAAATACTTTGAATTGGCAAATTTTAGCAACTTTTAAAAAAAGTATTGGTCTGGAAATATCACGGGAATATGGAAGGTAATATGAACAATCCTTTCTCATCACTGAAGGAGAAGTTACTCTGGGAAATTGAAAGACATCTAACTTAAATAAGATTTTGAAAGAGTTTTACATGATGTGTAATTAACCTTAAGAAGTCTTTGCCCCGAGGTAAAGTTAGGGCTTTTTTAAGATTAGAAAATGAATTAGGTATTTATATGGATTGGTAGACCATCCGCTATCCATCATCTGGGCTGCAGAGAAACACAAGGGAGGTGAGGTAAGATTTTGCAGGTTAAATGAATAATGCAATCACTAAAGATCAGCTTTTTACCTTCAGGTATTTGAAAGTGAAGCCCCCACCTAAGCCATCATTCAGATTTCCTCTGCAGTCAGTAGAGAAACGCATTTCATCAGGGAATAGCAAAACCTCATCCACCTTAAATACCTGTTCTTCTAGGGGATAAATTCCTTTTGTGGGATACCAGTCTCCCATTAACTATGGAGGAATCAGAGTCACATAGCTTAAATCCAGTGGACTGTATCCCTTACTGCCAGGTATTGGACAAATTTATCCAAATCTGGAGAAGCACTTTAGATGTAGCAACTCAAACTGTGCTAGGCTAGGTTTTCCAGTTATTTCTGCTTCAAATTTTATTTGCTTTTACAACTAATGAATATAATCTCAGTTTTCCAGTTAGCAACTCCATTTTTCTGGGAACTAAGGCTTTTCCAAGGCTTTTCTCTTGTCTAAGTGATGGTTTTTATGTATTGCAGATAATGACACAGTATTACTGAAGCACTGATAGGTTTCACAGACTTTACCAACTCGAGTGTTGTAAGAAGCTTAACTCTTGTGTTAGCAACAATTTCTGACAAAAATTACTCTAGAATGTTTTTGGTTTTTTACCCCTGGTAAAGTGAAAAGGGTTGTATTTCATGAGGATGTAAGGGCCTAAGTTCTATGGGCCCTATGTGTACAGAGTTAAACCATTTGGAAGTTAGGCATCTTTGAAAATCTCACTTCTTTAGCCACCTGTTGGCTTTGGGCAGTGGATCCTAGACACATCTACGTTGGAAATGGGGTGAAAACTGCAAAGGTCTTTTTGATGGTTTTCTTCTGAGCTGCTTTGAAGTGTTAGCCTCAAGCTTAAAGCGAATCTGAGTTTACCGATTTCGCATTTTGTCTGTACAAAGATGAAATGGAGCCTTCAGCTGCCTTGAAAAAAGGCTATTATGAATCACTGAAAAACTTTGTGAGGCTTGGGACAGCAGCAACAGCATAAAAAAATTCCCTGACTTTCTATTTTTGTAATCTATTGCTGGTGACTTTTCAATATAAAGTCTTTACCATAAAACCTGAGTGCTTGTGAACCCAGTAATAGAAATCCAGGCCCTGCTCCTACCCACATGGCTGAGCTGACAGCTCCAGATTACCTTATGTCTTCCCTTCATCTAATTGCATTGTAGGAGAGCTGCAGGTTGCCAGTATTGACTGAAGGAGATCCCACCAGGATGGACTGACCCTGGCTTTGTTACCAGGGGTAATGAGATGAACATATTGAGTAATCCTCCATCTCTGGCACCCATGGTGGTTTCTGCAAGGGATCTCAGGTTCAAGAGTTCCATGTCAGTGGGGAGAGGAGGCCTGGGAGTTGGCCTGCATTCCCCACATGTTGCACATCACCTGCCACACAGGCAGAATTAAGCACGCAGCCTGTCCCAGAAGGTCAGGGAGACTTCTCTAGGAAAAATGGCTGCAACTAATCTTGTGTCCTCACAGTGATAGAAGCTCATTTTGAGTGATCCATCTTGGCTTCTTCATCACTGCAGCGGGCTGCTTTGCACGTTTGCCCGGCAGAAAAAGGCCTTTCTTTGTCCTTCCCCATGAAATGGGAGTAAACATGCTTTCTGTCACCCAGGACTTTAGAAGATCCTGATGCCATTACCTGAAGAATGCTACAGTCTGACTCATAGTGTGGCAGCTTGGGATTTCCACTTTGAAAAAGTAAAGAGCAATAAAGACATCCCTGTAATACACTACAGCCCCACAGGCAGAGAGTGCTGGAGATGTGGTGAAGTTTTGCCACTTGAAATGTGAAAGCCCTCTGTGGTGGCTATGCTGGGGTTTCAAAACTTGTATTCTCCGGAAACAGCCGTGATTTTTAAAAGAAATTTCAGAGTCAATTGACAGCTGCATGATGGAAGCCAGGAGGGGCAGCTGCAGCTCACAGCTACCAATGCCTGCTTCTGTACATGAAGCCAGTGACCTTGGTCATGTTTCAATTCCCTGGGGAAGCAAGCCAGGCTGGCTGGTGTGTTCCAGGCTGATGCTGGTCCACCTTTGTTTTTGGTGATGACTTGTGGGAGAAGGGAGGGGAACTAGCAGTAAACTATATTCTCTATGTCATTATATTTCTAATGTTTGTGTTCTTGTCTTTATGTCTACGCATTCTTTAGCTATGAGGATAACAGACCCTTCATCAAGTAAGAATGACCTGAATGGCTGATAAATTTCATTTATCAGTGTGGTCTCATGAGCCAGCTGTCAGATCAATATTGAAAAATCATTAAAGCTTCTGTCATTCGCTTTTGAGGCAGAAGAGCAAACTGTGCAGGAAAATGGTCAGGCATACAGCTAAGGTGCAGAGTAAATGTGCTGCAAATGTATTGCCAACCAGTTGTCACCCTATTTGCTTTCTATTCTTTAATTGGACATACTTGAATTTAAGGTGAAAGTTCCCAAGTTAATTCTGTATAGTACAGACTTGTTATCCCAATAGCAGCCCTCTGATGCACTGTGCTCTGTCACTGGGAGTGCTTTATGGTAATATAAATACAGAAGCAAATTTTCAGAAAGGTGCATGGGTGCTATTCCCCATGATTCCCTTTCTAGTTACTGGGAATAGCGCAAGCAAATCTGTGTGCATTGGTGCATTGGAGGCTCCTTACTCTTTGGAGCACCTAATTGTCTCTAATTGTAAATCGCTGATTTTCAATTACACCAAAACATGGTTGTTTTTCTTTCTTTATTGCAATAAAATCCCACTATGGAAAAGAAAAACTATGAAAAAGCAACAGCAAGTCTGTACAAAGAGCAAGACAAAAAACCTCAAGCTGCACCAAAAAAAAAACAACCAACCCTGTAAAGAAAGCCAAAAATGCCTAGAAGTTACATACCTTAGGGCACCCATGCTCTTTCTCCTGAAACCAGAAAATAATGTGCAGTAGCACAAAATAAAAGCAAATCAACTTTGCAGTAGACTTTCAGTTTGTTCTTCTGGTGAAGAGTCCTTTGTGTTCATTCTTTCAGCACCATTCCCATGTTCTCTTTCATTGCTTGGTTCATTTTTTTTCTGCGGATATGGGATGGAGCTATTCATAGTAATCTTCACGCCCTTTTTATCTCCAGGTCTTGTTTTCTGACATACAATGCTATAATGCGTGCAGTTTGCACTGTTGGGGGTCTTCTAACCCACAGATTCCTTTCCATCACTGAAGGTAGCATATTTTCACTAAATAACTGTTTCATTCCTGCACACCTCTGCAGCCAAAGACTCTTTAATCAGGTTCAAGAATTGGCTGTGCTTCAGAGCAAAATACATTTCTGATATCCAGGAAATAATTTTTAGAAGACTCTGTAAGTGCAGTAAGCTTTTAATCGGGGATGAGAAGAGGGAGAAAAAAAAAGTCTTTTCCATTTCATTTGGATTTTTTTAAAGAAAAAAAGTACTTGTATTTTTTTAATTACTGTGTGGTTAGGATGATAGTTCTCTCACTGGTGGTGGAATCTCAGGAAGAAAATAACCCTAACAACTAATGGTATAAACTTTATCTAGTGGCTACTTTTCTGAGGGATTGTTGAGAGTGTGTTTTCAATTTGCATCATGCTAAATATTTATTAGTGGGATTGACTGGAAATGCTTCAGAGGAGCTGTTCTGGTCTGCTAGATACATAATAGTGATTTTTAAAGAACTGTCTTAATAAGCAATTACCTTAGGGAGCTCTTCTGGTTGTGTGGTTAAATAATACATATTTTATAAACTTCAGTGGAAGACTTAATGCTGCATTTTCATTCTCATACCTAAAGAAAAAAAAAAACAAAACAAAAACCAAAAAGACCCAGAAGACATGAATACAACATTAGTATGCTTCTGTTTGTGACAAGCCCTGCTAAAAGGAAAAGCATTCAAGGTTGTAGCTGCCATGGCATCTCCATAGCAGAGATTGTCTCCCTGACCTCTGCAGGACTGATTTTCCCCCCAAGTTACTGCTCCTTCATCTTTCTCCCCCTCGCCCCATGCTCTGATGAGCAGATGGAAGCCTAAATATGCCCAAACCCAGGCCACGTTTCTGCAAACTTGAATTGTCCTGGAAATATAAGATAGGTCTTTGTCCCTGCGAGCCCTTCTGCAGCACCTCAGACTGCTTTGGGGTAGACAAGGAAGCAGAGGTGCTGGCTGACTGCAGTCCTGTCTGCTTTGGGGAACAGAAGGGTTAAATGGTAAGGAAGGGGTGCAAAGACTGGGTATCACGCATTCATTTTTATGATGCTGCACCTAATAATAGCGGGGGACAACAGAGGAAAATCAAAGCCTTGAGGTAAAGGGCAAACGGATGCTCACAGTGCTGCTTGTTTCCCAGCTAAAAGTTGACTGCCCTCCCCTGTGCAGCAGCAATTCCTTTAAAGTTGTAGGTAATATAGCATATGGAAACTAGAGAGGTGGCTAGTAGCAGGACTGAGTTCCTATACTGCTTATCACACTTACTCTCTTGTTCTGGTATTGGAAGGTCAGTCTCTGAGAAGCTAATTTAGCAGATGACTAAATGTTATTTAGCAGCGTAACATGGAATACTTTTCCTGACATCCCAGCAAAGCTTCTAGCTTTCCTGAAAGCACACAGAAAAACTAACATGCAGCAGTCATCTCATGTCCCCAAGTTCTTTCTCTCCAAGCAGAAAGTTAGTGAGAGAAAGCAAACAGAGTGCCCACTACTCATATTCGATTGAAAACCATTTGGTACCAAGCAATGGCTGCACCTTTACTCCCGCTCCCCTCCTGAGATAGAGCAAAAGATAATCTTAGTTTTGCAGCCGATGTGAAGAAGGATTGCCCCTCCTTTCTCCAAGCAGAAGTGTGGCAGCAGCTACCATTTTAGCAAATGCAGCGTGTGAGTGCCTGTGCGCGTATGCGCAGTTCCCCTCATCGCGGGGTGCAAGAAGCGTGAAGCAGCATCGCAAAGAACATCCTTGTGTGGAGCCGATCTGGCAAGCAGTGAGGGCTTGCACACCTGCCTGTAGTAGTTTATCTGGCTTACAGGCATACGGGAGACTAGCTAAAATACAGCAATACATGTATCTTGGTGTTAAGTGTAAGGAAACTAATCCAACTGACAGTCCTATGAAGCCAGTGGACACTAAAAATGTGGCAATTAGAGTTGTTGTTTTGTTTGGTTTATTTTCGTTTCCTCCATTTGCAGAAATAACATCTACATGTCATTTACATGCACACTGCTTTTACGTGTTAAAAAAAGAAAAGAGACATTGTGCTTTGGTTGTGATGAATTTCTATGCTCATAACACTTCCATCTCCTTGTATTTCCTCAAGCTTGAAGATTTGTAAACTGCATCCAGCTTGAAGACAAAGCTCCTTGTGATTTATTTTGATATGCTGGTTTTTTTTGCTAAAAACAGGGGCAAAGTCTTCCTGCCTGTAGACATGTGCCTTCTTTTGTGTAGATGAAAGACCAATCCCTTTCTTTTTTTTTGTTTTTTGTTTCTCCTAACAGGTCCTGGGTTATAGGTGCAATAGCCCTACTCTGCTTATTAGGACTGACCTGGGCATTCGGACTCATGTATATTAATGAAAGCACAGTCATCATGGCGTATCTCTTCACCATATTCAATTCTCTGCAGGGAATGTTTATATTCATTTTCCATTGTGTCCTTCAGAAAAAGGTAAGACAGATGGTTCCCAGTGGCAAGAGAACTGGTAACGGGGTGTTTTGTTGCCTAACAACCACAGCATAGCATCATCTGCGTCCCTGAATTCGTCTCACGCAGTTTTATCTCTATGCACCTAATAAGGGTGGTGTTTAAAATGGAAACCAGCAAGATACAGGGGGATGATGTGATAACAAAGATATGTGGCAATGGCATTTCAGCAGCCAGGGCGCTGGCAACACATGTATCAGAGGCAAGGGAAAGGCAGAGCTTTACAATAGCAAACCTGGACCAGGACTTGCCTGCTGTCAACCAGATTCTCCTTTGCTGTATGCCAGTGTGAGACGGGAGCAAATCCATGAATATTGGGAAAGTGCTCCTGTGGCTGAGTGCTCACAGCAAAATGGAGCTTTACATGCTTATTTGCAGTTCCTACAGGAAATTACCCCTTTCTATAGCAGAATATGTGGGTTGATGGTATGTAATAGGGGTTGCTTCCCCCACTTTTTTGAGGACTGAAGGATGTGTGCTCTACCTTTATATTGCTTGGGCCTGATGTGGGCTTTTGGAAATCTTCCTCAAAGCAAGCACAGCAAGTGCTTCTTGCTGGAACTTGAAGTATGCCCCAATTAACATTTGCAAGATAGCAGTGGAATAGCTTAGGTAAACTCTGGGGGAAAAAAAACATAATAAAAATCTCTGTGTGTATATGTAGATCAGACTTACAGCCTCTGACAATCAGTAATAAATATTTTTAAGAACCTTTTTGTTCTCTACTGAAATATAGTAGTACAGAGCTCTCCAATTCTGTGCATTTCTGCTGATAATTTTTTATGTACATCTTAGTTTCAAAGGGCAGTTTCTTTAACCAGTATAAATATAGGGAAGAGTTTATATATGGATACACTGGTCCCAGCTTCTCAGTGTAACTAGTGTCTTTTGGTGAAATGGCTTACTGAGTAAAGTCAGGGCCATGTTTAGATCTGTTCTCCATCTGAGAGCCCCAGTCTTGCTCCTGTGTTATTCACATATTCCTATACAGGGAAGGGAGATCTGACCTAGGAAAACATAGGGGCAGAGCAACTGACATCATCCACCTGGACTTATGCGAAGTGTTTAACGCTGTCCCACATGACATCCTTGTCTCCAAATTGGAGAGGCATGGATTTGATGGATGGACCATTTGGTGAATGAAGAATTGACTGGATGGCTGCACGTAGAGTTGTGGTCAATGTCTCATTGTCCATGTGGAGACCAGTGATGAGTGGTGTCCCTCAGGGGCTGCTGCTGGGGCTGATACTGTTCAACAGTATGGTGACATAGCGGCATCGAGTGCACCCTCAGCAAGTTTGCCAGTGGAATCCTGGGCTGCATCAAAAGGAGCGTGGCCAGCAGGTTGAAGGAGGTGATTCTACCCCTTTACTCTCCTCTGGTGATACCCCACCAATACTGCATTCTGTTCTGGTGTGCCCAGCATAAGAGGGACACGGAACTGTTGGAGGAAGTCCAGAGGAGGCCACGAAGTTGATAAGAGGGCTGGGGCACCTCTCCTACAAAGACAGGCTGAGAAAGTTGAGGCTGTTTAGCCTGGAGAAGAGAATATTGTGTGGAGACCTCATAGCAACCTTCCAGTATCTGAAGGGGGCCTACAGGGAAGCTGGAGAGGGACTCTTCATCAGGAACTGTAGTGACAGGACAAGGACTAATAGGTACCAATTGAAAGAGGGGAAATTTAGGTTAGATATTAGGAAAAAATTTTTTCCTTTGAGGGTGGTTAGACACTGGAACAGGTTGCTCAGGGAGGTTGTGGGTGCCCTAACCCTGACGGTGTTCAAAGCCAGGTTGGATAAGGCCTTTAGCAACCTGATCTAGTGGGAGGTCTCCCTGCATATGGCAGTGGGATTGGGACTAGATGATCTTTAAGGTCCATTCCAACCCCTTAACATTCTATGATTTTATGATTCTGTGATAATCAAATTTCATCATAATAAGTGAACTCTGGGAGCGATGCCTCTGGAAGGATCTGCAGAGCTGTGTGAAAATGTCTTTCTTGAAACCAAAAGAAAACTTTGGGAGTTCAGAGTTTTGTCTTTGTCATTGCATCTCAAATTTTTACATCTTAAGAATCTTAAAAGCCTTATCTAGATGCAGCTGCCTGCTGATGATCCCAAAACTCTCAGCAAGAAAGTTTCAAGGCAAGATGATAGCAAGAAAGTAGGAAGCATCACCATCTCCAATTAAACCTGCAGATGCCTCTCTGATGAGGAGTTTGAATTTCTGCACCATTCTCGCTAGTCCATTCTCTGGCCTACAATGCACCTCACAAAGAGTCTGTACCTAGCCCAGCCTAGCATGGCACCACAGCCTCCTTGGCTAGTGCAGTTCTCACTCGGCATGGAAGAACCATTTCTTTTCTGTCTTAAGACAGTCTGCATCCTTAAACCATCACTGATGACTGTGGAGTCACTCATGATTTATGGCAGCATAGAGAGGAGAATGCAGCTGGTGCCTTGCTGTGGGGTGAATGCATCTCTCTGACCTATGAGCTGAGGGAGGTATTATTTAAGAAGAGAAAAAAGAATCCTTTCCTATGTATCATGGACTAGAAAATCAGCAAAATGCTGCAGAGAGGCAAGCAGTGGGTGGCTAATTAAAGCAATTGAATTATTTTCTCTCAGCAAAGGATTGATTAGGCACTCGAGCATATTGGGCACTTGTGGTATTGTGTTTGTCTCAAGCGCTTAAGGAAAAGCCTAATGAAAAAGCTGTAATTTGCTATTTAAACAGTTGTTTCATGGAGTTGTGAAATGCTCATAGACAGTTTGGCAAAATTTTATGGCTAACCATGTGCTCCAAGAATTCTCAACTGGTGTTTTGGACATGCATGCATTTTTTTGGGCTCTTTTGTGTCAATGGGTAACATGACCCTCTTTTGGCTCTTCAGTATAGTCTGCTCATTTTCACTCCTGTCCCATCTGGTTTCTGGGTATTGATGTCTGTAAAAAGTCACACCTGAAACTCAGTCAAGACTTAGATCCTGCCCTGGCACAAGTTAGTGTAGGTCCCCTGAAGCAGAGAAGGTGACATAGGTTTGACAGCAATGCCCATTTAAAACATAAGTGGCTTGCACAGTGCTGTGGAAAAGCCGACTCCAGCCACACCTGAGCACTGGGAATATAATCTCTAGGGCTGCTGGCTCTACAGTTTCCTCGAATTTCAATTTGACGGCAAGAAACATTTTTTTTTTAAAAAAATCGATATCTCTGATATGTTTCTCTTGGAATTTTTTTTTCTTAATCCCCTGCCAGAAGCAATAACTTTTAGTACCTTGATGAGCCAATATGCTATTTTATATCAAATCTATGAGGACATTAATTTTAAGTCATAAATAGTGTATCTGTAGTTTCTCCCATGCTCTTTTGATGTGCCTCAAAGGACGCTACAAGGGGCTGGTGTCAACAAGCAGCTTTGCTGCATGGAAGCAGTCGCTTATGCCATCGTAAACCATGAGCTCACGCCTCCAGAGCATTCAGCTGCAAGGTGTAATAGACTCCTTCCCCACGCACTGCAGCAGCTATTGCTTTAATGAACCACTGAGGAAACATCAGGGGCTGTGCTCAAAATCAGAAGGCAGTGGGTTGGAGGAGGAGCTGCCTGCTAACCACCATTGCGCTTTCCTTGGCTAGGTACGTAAAGAGTATGGAAAATGCCTGCGCACGCATTGCTGTAGTGGGAAAAGTACAGAGAGTTCTATCGGCTCAGGAAAAACCTCGGGGTCAAGGACACCTGGAAGATACTCCACAGGCTCACAGGTAACCCACACTTCTTGTTAGTGCCCCAATGATTTGCACCGTCACATCAATACCCTTGTCAGCTGTTCTTGGAGGAAAGCGCCTTTCAGCACCAAAGGAGCTGCCTTAGGGCTCTCCCCAGTGCACCTGCAGAGACTGCCCTCCCTTCTGGACCCGAGTTCAACACAGTGGCTTCCCTTGAGATGTGATGGTAATTAGTGCTTCTCCAAGAACCTTCTACATAATTGTAGAAGGTTCAAACTTGCCTTCCAGGGACAGGTGGGTGGTCAGGGGATCAGGAGCTGAGAGCATTTTGTCAGCTGTGCTACATTCCAATGCATCTTTTAATCACGAGATTAAGGTTGTCACCACTATTAACATGTCCAGGAATGATGCTATAATGACCAGGTATTTTTCTTGATAAGAAAAACAATCTTGCAATAGGCTTCACTGTGAAAGGATTTACTTTCTGGCATTCAGTAGTTTGATCAATTTGCCTTAGTTCATAGACCTCTTAGGAGAATCCATTGGGGTCAGATTATCTGACTGAGTTGCTGGATTTGTTACGCTTTGGTCACCTGAAAATTCAGGCTTTGTGTAGTTTGTGCACTTAGCATTTTTGAAACCAACTTCTGTTTAGAGATTTATGGATGAGCAGTTCATATAAAATGAAGAAGCTTACTTCTTAATCAATAGAAACCAAACACAAATTTATTCAGTATTAGTAATGGAAGTAATTATACATGACAGTTTCACTATTAAATTATGAAAGACATGCAGCAAGTAACAGTTTATAACTTCCTGGGAAAACCTAATTTGTGATTTATGTCTTGGAGCAAATTATTATTTATTTTTGGCAGTTTCCAAGATGTCATCTGAGAGCTCCACTTTGGCATTTTCGTAGGTCTAGAAGTTATGCAGAGCAAATAAAAGCAATAGAACATAGAGCCTCCCTCCAGTAGGCCATCAAAACCCACAGAAATCAGTAATGTCCAAAACTCACTCTAGCAACATTTAGGTGGCTGATTTGAAAGTTTTACATAAGTTAGCTATTGCACTGGTGCCCTCCTCTCCAGGAAGTGTTTACTTTAATGGATCCTCCCTCTTGTCAGTCCCAGCACAAGAAAACAAGCCTTTTCTTGGGTGAACTGAGTCTCGTGGCAGCAGTACCTTCATGGCAGATGAGGTTTGAGGTACAAAAGCAGAAGCTTGTCTTTGGAAGGAGCAAAGTACCTGAGACCTCTTATGGGCAGGAGAAACCTCACGCACGTGATGGAGAGTGGATGGAGATCACTCTGAGTTGTTGAAAGCATCTGACTCTGAATTTTAAATAGAGAAGAACATGAGGAAGAAAACTCTTAAGATCCCTTTTTACTCTGAGAAGCACATAACAAACAGAATAATTAATCCACAGTGGCTCATGTCAGAGAAATACAATAGATTAAATGTCCAGGTGAAAAATAATTACTGTAAAAGTACATGGACCTCATGTCACATTGTGTTCCCATTTATAGAGGGCTAATGCATGATTAGGAGATGCTGTTACTACATAGTTAATGAGTAGACTAGGACTTTTCAGCTTGTACCACATGATTAAGCCCTGAAAAATCTCTCATGGCTAAGCTCTCACTATGGAAAATGCACTTTGGAAAAACATGATGTGTCACAGTGGGAACTAGGTTTCCCAATCCCCCAGACCACCTAAGCACCAATTTCATGCAGCCATGGGATGTGTCCATCATACTCTGAAATGTGAAGTGAGGGAGAGTTTCCCTTGGATGCCTGGGTTCTCCAGTCATCTTCACACAGGGATTGTCAAACCGCTCACAAGATGCATTTTGGCTGATTTTTTGATCTTTTGCAAGGTCTAGTTGGGGAGGAGTGAGACAATGATATAAAAGCCACAGTGGCAGATAGAGCATATTTGATAAACAAAACAGAAGGCCAGCATGTTCAGGACACTTTCCCCAGTAGCAGAAGCCATACCATAGATGGCAAAACCATCAGTAGGGGAACAGAAGTCATTCGTTCCTGGGGAATTGTTTTCCTCCCTGTATCCCCAAGATGCGAAATAGCTATATAAAACCTCTGTTCATTCAGGGACACCAAGACACAGAACAAGTCTTGTTCTTGTTCTTGCACTTCAAAAAAATAAGAATCAAGGTGTCTAAGTTAGTACGGGAAACACGTGTGCTTCTGTGTGTAAGTTATTTTTCCATTATTTGGTGCTTTATTGGTAAACCTGTAGCCCACAGGGGTCTGGGTTTCTCTCATGCATGATTTTTTTAAATTAAGATGTAAGCAATTCAATTATGCACTTCTTCTTTGGGCTATGCGTTTGTCTTATGAAGTTAGGCAGGCAGGGTCTGACGTGCACAAGGCAGGTTATAGCAAAACAGCAACTGCTTGCTTACAGCTGGCTAGAAACAAGTCTCATCCTGAGCTAGACATGCCAATAGCCATCTTTAGTGAGGCAGAAAGAAACCTCTCTGCAGCTGCTAAAAATTCATTACCTGCTGTGGTTCAATCCCTCTTCAGAGCCGGATTCGTAGGATGTGGAATGACACAGTTCGAAAGCAGTCCGAGTCTTCCTTTATTACTGGAGATATAAACAGTTCAGCTTCACTCAACAGAGGTAATTATAAACTATTTTTCATATCTCTAACTCTTGTGATGGCTTAAAGGAGTCTGAAATGTATGGCCCCTTCCCCCCCTACCTTTTCCTCCTCACCTCAGATGTCACTGGACCCTATTTTCCCACCTAAGAAATGTTACAGTGATAACTGGGTGGACATTTTATGGTGGCTGTTGCCTTTTTTTTCTTTTCCTTTTTTTATTTCTACATGTGCATTTTCAAGAATTGTCATTTCTGGAAAGAAGTTAGGAAAAGCAAAAAAAGATAAATGAAATGAAGTTGAAATCTCCCCTTTCCCTCAGCAAACTGCTAGTGCCAGAAGCTGCTGATGTGTCAGGCCTCATTGCTGACCGTGAAAATGGGCCATTACAGCATTGTACAGTCTGTGTTAAGCATCACAAGAGTCCTGATTGTCCTGGATATGTAGCAATACTGTCATCTTTACAGAAGCAAAAATGAGCAGCAGAACATAGACGTAAGAAGAAACTGAGCTTGGAACAAAATTGTCTGTGTTGGTGTTAATATATCTAGTTTGAAGAACTGACTGATGTGAACTTTATAGACATCTGCGGTGGAAAGGCTATCAGAAATGTATATGCCAAAGAAAATGTGGTGTCTGGCACTGGAGGAAATCTGAACAGCTTTTTTAAACCAAGTCTTTTGCAGGGAGTTGCAGGAAAGCCATGGTAAAGGAATACCAGAAAAAGAGCCTCAGAAATTGCTTTCTTTCTTCTCCAGTACAATTACTTTATAGTTTAACCTTGAGCAACCAGATTCCAAACTCTGTTTTGTGTATCTGCCCAGTTGATGCTGGAATTAAGAGGGGGTAGAATTGGGATTACTGCGCCCAGCTGTTCTGTTTTGTGAGAAATAGAAACCCAGTCGGGCAATTTCCAATCAGAATTTATTATATGATAAAAGCAAATTGGGCACTGGGTGATCAGGGAAGGGGTTCAACAACTCCCAACGCCTGTCACACCCATAGAAGACATTTGTTCTACATTTATTTCCAGCTACTACATGAATATTCATTATACATAAGTATAAACATTACACATTGTTAGGTACATGAGTATAAACATTACACATTGTTAGGTCAGACATTCCACAGATATTTCTTAACAAGAATGTTATCTATAAGCATCCATAATATATTGTTAAATCAGACTTTCAGCAGATGTTCGCTTGTTATCTATACAAAGTTATAAATTTTAAGAAAGGTGCTATTATCTAGCTAACTAAACAAAATTTTCTCATTATAAATCCTATACAAGGTAAAAGGGAGGTAACTTGTTTTATCTCTTTATAGGGGCCCAATTAAGTTTTACAACTTGTTTTTCTTTTCTCTCCAGGTCATATTGAACTTACACTGTTTTCTCTTAATTAGCTTGAATCATTTTCTCAGTTTATCACATCTTATGATGATAAAAATCAAACATATTTCTAGTCCTGATGGTTGATCTGCAAATCTCAACTGAGAATTGAGTTGGGACTTTGGTTCTTATTCAGTCTTTATTCACCACAAAATTTCCACTGATTTTAGGGTGAGTTTTGCCTGAGGATAAACTTGAAAGATTTTGACTGTGCTGTTAATAATATTGGCTACTGAGTACTGGGGAACTAGAGGCATATGATTCCATTCTCTGAACATTATATGTATTGCCCAAATCAGTGCAAAGGGAAAGGTAGTGTAGTTAACATGGAAATGTACTGTACTTCAACTTGCTGGTGTTTTTGTCCTGGGATAATTTCACTTTGCACTGAAGATTCGTTAATAAAGTTGACTAAAAGATACAATTACTGCAAATGCCTGATTTATCCGCATTTATTGTCCTCATGTCTCTCTGTCTTTGTATTAAAGACTGGAGAGCACCAGCCAGGCTTCTCTGAGTTTAATACAGAGGGGAATCAGTTGTCACACAAAGATTACAGCGAGCGCCAGTTTCCCTTGGCCATCCATTGCTCCGTCTCAGTGGCAAACCAAAATGTGTTATGCATAAAATGTTTGCTCCTTTAGTTAGCACAGAATTTGACTTGCTCTGTGATGCAACTGAGGCTACCAAGGGATATGCTTTAGCAAAAAGGATCTTCTGGGCTCATCAGCAAAAGAAAAGTATCTCTTCTTTTTCAGTTTTACATTTTTTTCTGTGCAAAGCAGGAAGTATGACCATAAATTGGGAAAACTGTGAAGAGGTTTCAAGTGGGCAATCTTCATCCCAGTGTGGTGAGAGCCTGTTACTAGATGTGCCTGTTATTTAAAGGTCAGTTGGGAAATGAACTGCCAGGGGAGGCATCTTCAAAGCAGATTTCATCCAGCTATTTTCCTTGTGTAACATTGGATGAGATGAATCATCCGGAGGGCCTGGATCTCTCTACTGACTGCAGAAGCAGCCTGATAACTATCTCGGAAGGGAAGCCTTTTAGGTGGAACACTGAAGTGACTTGAATAAGTTGTACTACTATACAGGGTCATCCTCCCTCTTTTTCACGCAGGCAGACACAATATTTATTGTTGTTGGGTTTTTTTTTTCTTTTCTGGTAGAAGTATTTGCAAAGTGGAGGTTAAAAGCATTTATTTGGGAAATAGCATCTCCAAAGCAGCAGGTGGTCAGATCCATATGGAAAATGCACCTGACATCAACAGTAATCCCAGCTGCACAGGGCTCCAGGTATTTCTCTCTTTATCCTGTTTATTTCAACTGAAAAGAAACATTTGTGGTCTTAGGGCTTTGCTCAGACAAAACTCTCCAGAGAGCTGCAGTGTGAGCAGAGCAGCGGGGCACTACAGTTTTCACAGTTGTCTTCCTCTTAATATTTAAATATATATCCATCTTTAAAGGAGCTGTTTCATTAATGTTTTATTTACAAGCATGCAATAAAAGCTCAGGGGGTTGAAGTGTGAGCCTTGAGTTGTATGGTCAGAATCTTTCCCTGCCCGAGGTTGATACAACAAGCTTGCATACCTGTTCAAAAATCCCTTTCCAGCCTTCCCAGCCTAGACACCTTTTGCATGAAAGTATCTGTATTATCCCAAGTAAAACATTCTGTCTGTGCTGGCATTTTTCCCAGAGCCTTCAGACAGCATCCTCTGTTCTAAAACAGGGAGAAAATGATCCTTTCTCCCCAGAACCACCCTATTATCCAGTTCCTGACCTGACTCCACTTTTCCATGTCCTGGGCCAGCACTGAGTTTTCATGTTTCTATTGTGAGAGCAGAAAGCAGTGAGACATCTTCCAGCTGGATGTGTCTTTAAATTTCTCACTTAAATCTGTTTTGTCCCTGATATTATTCACCATATTTGCAGCCTCCTGCTACGTGATAACATCCCTACGTGATAGCATAGCTAGGCAAGACTGCTCTAGCTATCCATATTCCTGTATGATGGCCAGCATCTCTGTGTGACATCACATCCCCTCTTCTTCCTTCATGAAGCTCCTGGGCATCAGTCTGGAAGATGGTGTCTGTGTTAGTGCATCTCTCCTTTAGACATACAGCTGTGTCTTTTTCTGATTTAGCAGATATGACACTGTTTATGGCTCTTTTCAGCTTCATATCCTCTTTTATCTACTATTCCCACCCCCCCCCAAGTAATTAATCATAATGTTATTTTTCATATTCTCATTTATCATACCAGGAATTTCAGTTATAACCCCAAACTTGCCTGATGTAATGTGTTCTGTAATGAAAACTATACTCACTTTATCCTAAGGCATACAAGACTATTTCAGATATTTCCTGAAGGTAGCATCTAATTATGGATTAGTAAAAAATATATCTGGCTTTGTTTCCCATTGTTGCTCATTATGGCTTAGTAGTGGTGTGGATTTGGAGTTGTTATACCACTGAAATCAGGAGGAAGGGAACAGAAACTGGCCATGGGTTTCCTCTTCTACTGGTGAATGAAGAGCATTCCTGTCCACCCCATGGTCATGGTCTCAGTTTCAGGATCCAGGTAGATTTCTGCTCCTTGCACTCCCACTCTGCAACCTTGCCCAATTTTTCATAGAATGGGTGTGGCTGGATATTTTTGCCATCTATTTCACATCCAACCTGTGCTCTGCATTTCTTTTCCCAGTGCTGAAAACTTCAGGGGTATAAAAGCTGAACCAAGCTGATTACCTAATGAGTAGAAAAATGAAGTTTCCCTTTGTCTGTAGGGTATTTAGCATGTGGTCCTAGTACAGGCACTTGGGTGCAATGCTGTAAAACTAGAACAAAAGAGATGCATTAGAACAAAAGGGTTGCGTGCAGGATGGACTGTTTGCTAAAGCTTATTACTTTGAAGGCTGAAAAGTAGAATGTATGAAGGAAAACAACAGTTTTCCTTTGTGTTAAGTTCATGAGGAGAAAGTGGAGCAGATGACTGCTTGGTTGTAACAGCAGATTTTTTGATTCTTGGGCTAAGGACAGTTTCTAAAAAGAGCTAGAGATTAAAAGCAATTAACAGCATCACTGTTGTTCCAATTCTGCTGTACTTGTGTTTTGTTAATCTAATCATGGACGTGTGCTGGACCCACAGACGGAGCCAGCGAGAGAAATTGGGGTATCTGTCATCATGGCACAGATGGCAAGAGGAGCAGGGGACAGCTGCGAGCATAAGCATTGCTGAGCCCTGATAGTGCAGCACGGGCCCAAGCTTTGGGTACATCCAGTTGGCCACCTCAGGATCTTGAGGAATGGGTCTGTTTGCACCTTTGAAGTATTGCTGTCAAAAAGTACTTGGATAGCTCAGCCAGCCTTGCAAACAAGCAGTCTGTCATGGTTTGAGATAGCCCCAAAATCCAATTCCCTAGCTCCATTCCCCCCTCCCACATCTCAACCTAATGTGAGATGGGTTTTTCCAGACAAAACACACACCAGACTCAAAGTGGGGGAAAGGGAATATATTACAATGACTGTACAAATAAATACCATATCACATTATACACATGATCACAAACTATCTCTACCATGACATATAGTATTTACAGTGGACCAGATCTCTTCTCTCCTCCAAATA